TCTCTCTCTCTCTCTCTCTCTCTCTCTCTCTCTCTCTCTCTCTCTCTCTCTCTCGTGTATGCTCCTTCTTCCTGGAAATTCTTCTTCCTGTTCCTCCACCTTTGAGGCCTGGCTTACTCTTAAATCATCTCTTAAGTCTCAGATTTTTAAGTCATACAGAAAGCCTTTTCTTTCCTTTCCTTTCCCACTTCTAGGTTAGGTTCATTTTCCTCAAAATGATCTCAAAATGTTTTGGGTTACTTTCCTGTTTCCTCTGCCAGACTGTAAGTTCCTGGTGTTCAGCCCAGGACGGCATTCAGCAGATTCAGTAATTGCGTGCAAACTAATTGAAAATACAGATTTACGTACTAGAGTGGCTATAGTGACTCCTTAGTTATGACGTGGATCCAGTCCCAGGCTGATCCGTATCCACCACTGCAACAGGTTGCTGATACATCAAAGACTCTGATGTGGAAAATGACTCAAAGGGAGCAGTAGGTGGTTCTGTCTCCTGCTCTGTCATTCCGACTCTGAGTGGGGGCCCACGAGGGAGGGAGGCAAGGATTCTTTGTTGCCGAGAAGCAGGAGGCTTATTTAATGGCATTCCCTCAGGAGGGCCTGTCCTGAGGGACGACTGTTGTGAGAGGAGTTTCAGCTCTCCAGTAACTCAGGTCCTTTGGGAACACAGAGCCTGCTGGCCTCTGGGTGTGTACAAGGCCCAGCCAGGGTGGCTGTGGTGCACTAGCACTTGCCCTGTGGTTACTGCCAGATTTGCTAATGCTTTGTCTACGTGGTGATTTCTTTCCAAGGAAAGGAAACTAGTAGCTGGGCGCGGTGGTGCAGGCTGTAATCCCAGCGGCTCAGGGGGCTGAGACAGGAGGATCGCAAGTTCAAAGCCAGCCTCAGCAATGGCAAGGCCCTAAGCAACTCAGTGAGACCCTGTCTCTAAATAAAATATAAAAAAGGGCTGGGGATGTGGCTCAGTGGTTAAGCACCCTGGGTTAAACCCCTGGTACCAAAGGGGAGGAGGGAAGGAAACAAGTAAACTATAGGTTTTTCATAATCTAGGTAATGTCAATGTTTGTACATAATTTTATCTTTCTTATTTTTAACACAGTTTTGTATTGCAGTGGAATATTCCTAATTTCTTGATTCTATTAATCTGATTTAATGTATAATACGTCCTTGAAATACTATTGATCCTAAAAGACCTATTTGGAACATGGAAAGTAATGAACTTTGGAGTAGGTATTCATCTTTAAATCAGAAAACAGAAGTAATTTAGTTGTAAAAAGAATATTGTTCCCATAGTTAATTTTACTTACAAATTTAAAAGAGTTTTTCTCTACAATATTTGATTAATTCATACTTTTTAAAAAAACAAATATTTTACAAATATTTTCTTGTATTCCAAGTGGTTACACCAAATGCTGTAGATTCAACCATGGCAAGGGCAAACAAAATTGCCATTCTTTTGAAACTTACCTCCTCGTATTGTGGTTTCTATGATAGACAGTGTGTATATAAACAGATAAGGTAACGGGAGATGGCGACATTTACGGTGAAGGAAATGAACCAGGTGCAGCAGTGGAGTAGGAAGCCACCACCGCAGGGTGGTTTGGAAAGGACTTTTTGGAAAGGCTATTTAGGTTGAGATCTGAATGATGAAATGAAACTGCCAGAGAAAGAACTTGACAGGAGCATTCCCGGCAGAGGAAGTAGAAAGCGCAAAGGCTCTGAGGGGAGGAAGCGTATTTGAGAAGCCGGAAGTAGACCAGAGTGACCACAGGGTAAGCAAGGAGAAGTGGTCTTAATGAGTGTGGAAGGCAGGTAGGAGGCCCCTGGTCTAGGTAAGAAGTCTAGAACTTCTAAGAATCCTGGGAAGCCACTGGAAGGTGTCAGCTACACATGGTCACCTAAGATCTTTAACTTAAAAAAAATAGCCTCACCAGTTGTTGTATGATGAATAGACTGAAGAGGGACCAGAAAGGCAGCAGAGAGACACTGGGAAGAGTCTGGTAGCAGGGTGATCCGTGATGGGGCATGGATTAAAGAGATGATGGCAGAGGAGAAATGGGTGCACTCCAGATAGAACCCACAGAACTTGCTTTATGAATTCAAGTGTTGGTATTAAGGGGGTTCAGTGTTTGGGAAAGAAAAGACTGATTTTTATAGATTTTAGATTCTCATTACTAAGGAAACTTGGCTAAGGTATAATGAACAGTAGGTGGAAAGTACAGTGAATACCCAAGTAGTCATTACTGAGTTTAAGTAAAAGACCATTATAATTACCTTTGAAATTCCTGGGGTGCCTCTTTCTAGTCCCTCCTCTGAGCTACCATCATCTTTACTTTAATATTTTATCATTTTCTTGCTTTTCATTGTAGTTTTGTAGTATATGTAAACAATATATTGTTAGTTCTTTGTTTTTGAGCTTTATATATAAGAAACCAAATTGTATATATTCTTGCATGATTTCTCTCACTCAACATTATGTTTCTAAGATTCATGCGAGTTACAGTATGTTATTGTAATTTATTCATTTCCATTGCTGTATAGTATTCCATGATATTACCATCCCACAATTTATCCTTTTGACCAATTGGCATTCAGACCAATGGTCCATTTGACCATTGTTTTTAGGTTCTTACTATCATTGGCAGCTCTGCTAGTAACATTCTTATGTATGTCTAGAGTGTATAACTAGAAGTAGTATTATTGGTACATTATTTGCTAAACAATGCCAAACTGTTTCTTGAAGTAGTTATACCAATTTAAAGTGTTTTAGACCATTTGGGCTGCTATAAGAGAATACCAAAGATTGAGTGGCTTATAAACAACAGAAACTTATGTTTCACAGTTCTGGAGGCTAGGAGGTCCAAGATCAGATTTGCAGATTTGTTAGCAGGTGAGGATTTCCTTCCTGGTTCAGGATAGCCATCTTTGGCTGTGATATCTCATGGTAGAAGATCAAGGGAGTTCTCTAAGGCCCCGTTTATAAGGGCGCTAATCTTATGTTGAGGGCCCTGCCTTCATGACCTAATCCTTTCCCAAAGACCTCACCTCCAGATACCCTCACATTGGTGATTAGGTTTCAACATGTGAATTTTAGAGGCAGAAACACACAGTCCCGCAGCACATCCTCATCAGCACTGTGTAGGAGAATCATTCTTATGAATAGCTAATGTTCTGAGACCTTGAACTCTTGAAGTGATAGCTCCTGCTAGCTTTGGCTTTAATTTGTCTACTCCCTACAAAGGCAAGGATCTTGTCATTGATTTGTTGGTGACTTGATATTCTTCTTGCATTAATTGCCTTTACAAGTCTTTTTTCTAGTTTTCTTTTTGTCTTATTAGTTTGCAGATCTTCTTCAAGTTATAATCTTTTGGTATCTATATATATCACAAATGTTTTCTCCTTGTGGCTCAAATTTTTGCACTCACTATGATATGATACCTTGTAGTGATTAAGTTCTTAATTTTAATATAATCCTACTCATCAGTATTTTTTTCTTTATGTTTCATGTGCTAATGTTTAAGAAATTTCTTTCTATCCTGAGTCATAAAGAACATTCTTCTGTATTATCTTCCAGAAGTGTATAGTTCTGCCTGTTGTGTCTGTTTTCAAGCCACTTGGAACTGATTTTGTGTAGAGTGTGAGTAGGATTCCAGTTTAATTTTTTAAACATATGGATAACTGGTATCTCCACACCATTAAGAAGTGCCTTCTTTCCTCACTGGTCTGCAGTGCCTGTCGTCAGCGGTATTAATCATTTTAAGGAAACAGCTTTTGGCTATGACATGATAATGTGTTTGTTTTCTCTTTCATTATTTTCTGTCTTTGTGTTTATTTTGGATTGGATCTTCTTTCTTGTAATAACAATTTATTACATTAATTTTTGTTCTTTTGTTTATTCTTGCTTACTTTTATGGGGAGGTCATTCTGTTCTTCCAGATCCTCTGTTGTATGCTGAGTTCATTAATATCTGGGCTTTCTTTTTTTTTTTTTCTAAAATAATCTGTCTATAAATTTCCTTTATAGGTATTACTTTGTGTTCCACAGCTTTTATTTGTTTCCTCTGTTTCGCTCCTTTCATTACTCCTTTATTTTGAAAACATTGTCATCTTTTCTTTGATTCATAAAATTTATAATCATTTCTTAAAAATGTTGGTGTCTTTTGTACTGATTCATAATTTGATTGGGCTATGGATAAAGAATATAGGCTATATGACATCAATAAGTAATAGATTTTTCTTTTGTGTGAACAGTTGGGTGCCATTTAGTGAGGTAGAGAAGTTTGCAGGTGGGCAGAGAAGCAAGAATGCTGTTTTGGAGATATTAATTTGCAATGCCTGGAAGAATCCTCACAGAGAGGCCATGCAGGCAGTTGGACTAGAGCTGTATGTTAATTTTTAGATATGTAAATCCTATTTAATGTTTAAGGCGTGTTTGTGATTCTTGAATATATTTCTCTAATTAAGAATAATTTTTCGTAGTTGCAGAAGACCCTGCAAAGTCACTAACAGAGTTATCTTCAGAATTTGGACATTCGTCACCGCCGCTGCAGGCTCCTTCCATGAACTCCTTATCCAGTGAGAACAGATTTCACTCTCTACCATTCAGCCTGACAAAGGTGCCTAATTCCAATGGAAGCATTGGTCACAGCCCGCTTTCTTTGTCAGTTCAGTCTGTGATGGGGGAGCTGAACAGCGCGCCTGTCCAGGAGAGCCCGCCCTTGCCCATGTCTTCTGGCAACTCTCACGGTCTGGAGGTGGGCTCGCTGGCTGAAGTCAAGGAGAACCCTCCTTTCTACGGGGTCATTCGTTGGATCGGTCAGCCCCCAGGACTGAATGAAGTACTAGCTGGACTGGAACTGGTAATTTAATTTGATCCAAAAATTATAATTCTTTTCTAAATGGGGTTTTGTGCAGAATATTTCCTATTATATATTTCTTGGCAAATCATCGTGAATGTCCAAAAATTTGGAGAAAAATTTCATGACGTGTTGCCTGAATTCTTTTTGCCGCTCCTTAGGCTTCTGCCTCGCCTGTTTCTAATGTTAGTTGATCCGTGTCCAAAAAAGAAGAATTGCGTTTTAGGTTAATGTATTTAGGCTTCTTATATTGAGTAGAATGCAATAAGGGAAGCAAATTGTTAATTGTTACCAGCTTTTACTTTTCTTGTTTCGCCTTGTTCTCTATAAAGCCTTAGAACTAACCATCGTTTTCTCAGGTCTTTTGGTATCTTTGGTAGAGGGAAAGATTTTCCTTTGGAGAGTAGGAAAGCCTGTTTGGCATTGCACAATCAGGAAAGGGGAATTTGAATACATTTAGCTTTTATTAAAATATATTTCTTGGTTTGTTTGCTTATTTGTTTGTTTTCATGCTAATGAGCACTATTAGAGGAGTACTTAACATAATTGTCCTCCTCGTTTCCCTCTGTGTGTGTATTTAGCATTGCTGGGGATTGAACCCAGGGCCTTCCTTACCTGTACCAGGCAAGTACCTAACCACTGAGCTACACCCGAGTTCATTCTTTGGTTTTAATACTTGCGGAAATAGTACAAAGAAAGTCAGGTAACCAGGGAAGGCCTAGGCAGGTGTTCTGAAAGGGAATTCATTGAGGAGTTCCTGTTGGATTAAGGAATTCACTTCTTAAATCATTAGCTAAAGGCTCGATGCTTTGATTCCGCAACCCCTTTTTCTTGATGCAGTTTGCAGTACACGTGGAGAGGGAATTCGGAGAAAGGGTCACTAGGAGCAGCTGCGGGCGCCTTAGTTCTGTGTGTCTATCTTCGTGGCGTGGTGTAATGCATGTGGAAGCCTTTCTTTTCCAGGAAGATGAATGCGCAGGCTGTACAGATGGAACCTTTAGGGGCACTCGGTATTTCACCTGTGCCCTGAAGAAGGCGCTGTTTGTTAAACTGAAGAGCTGCAGGCCTGACTCGAGGTTCGCGTCCCTGCAGCCTGTTTCCAATCAGATAGAGCGCTGTAACTCTTTAGGTATCGGATGCTTTTCATTTACTTACTAATCTGGAATGACTTCATTTCATACCATTTTGTATTAGGTGACAGTGACAGTGTTTAAGTGATTTTCATGCCAATTGCTCGTAAGCTTTCAAACCAGTAAAGATTGTTACTTGGTATATCTGAAAGTTAGTTAGCCTAGAAGAGCCATTTAAAAAAGTGTTAGGAATAGTGTCTTGGATGCAAAAGGTGGGAGTAGGGGGATTTGTTTTTTTCTTCTTATTGATTACAGATGTTTACTTTTCAGCAATACAGGGGCTAGAAATTGAACTGTGTTCCTCTTTTTTGGCATCAACGTCCCCTATAATGTATTGGTTAAGTATATCAGTCAGCATGTCTTACCAAGAAATCAGGGTTTGTCTAAATAGTCTTAGATTGAGGCTGGAGGAGAGCTGTTCTCATCACTTGGAAGAGGTGGTGGCTTTCTGATGCTATCCCTTCCCACTTCTGAATAACAGTGGCGCAGCAAAGAGTAGGTATAAATAGGAAGGTGTAATAGGAAGGCCATTTTAATGAAGCATGTTTTTCTTACTGTTGAAAGAGTACTTTATATTTTTTTGTTTTCTTTTTGTACTTGAAAATATGAGACATTGTGGATAAATAATAAAGTATTTTAGGAGCAAAATATTTTGCTTGACAGATGCTTTTTACACATTACTTAATACTCTAAAGTGCTTTTCAAATTGTGGAGGAAGCGAGTTTGAAAATGAACAATAGTGTTGTTTTACATGTCAAGTTGAATTGATTAATGAAAGTTGATAAACAAATATTTTTTATCAAAATACCAAAATATATTTTAAAATGAAGACACAGTTTGAAAGTTTCTTTTTAATGGTTTAAAAGAATTCTTTTCATTTTTTTTTTAATCTTTTCAGCCTTTGGAGGCTACTTAAGTGAAGTGGTAGAAGAAAATACTCCACCAAAAATGGAAAAAGAAGGTTTGGAGATAATGATTGGAAAGAAGAAAGGTATCCAGGGCCATTACAATTCTTGTTACTTAGACTCAACCTTATTCTGGTAAGTTTAAAATGAATGCAGTAGGTATAGAGAGTGTGTGTGTGTGTGTGTGTGTGTGTGTGTGTGTGTGTAAGAGAGAGAGAGAGAGAGAGACTGCCAGCTACCCGAGTGGAGACACTAGGGACTGGGGGTTAGGAGAGGAAGGGAGTTTGCTTTCCAAAATACACTTCTTGAAGTTACGGAGTGTTGTCGCCTGTTCCTATATCCACCACATTAATATGAAAAGTAAGGCAGGGAACAATGAGCCAGAGCTGGATGACAGTGACGCACATGGAGCAGATATGTACCAAGGGCAGCTGGAGCGAGTAGGCACGGTGTCTTTGAACATGAATCAAATAACATGACTTGCAGTAAGCTCTTGGCCGATGTGTTCTGTCTTTGTTTTAGTAGGTAGAAGGAATCTTTAAACTGCTTTCTTTAAAAAAAAATTATGTTCCATAGAAGCCCTGTTGTTCCTATATATGTAGTTTTTTCCCAAAGTGGAACAACTTAGCATGGCAAGAATTATTAGACTCTGAAGACTGAACCAGGAGTCTTTAGGCCCTAAGGACCTTGCATTGCCAGTTCCATTAATTGTATAGCTATGTCATCAGAATCAGGGAGTTTACATGACATGTTAAAATTCTAAAAGTAGGAAAAAGAAAAAAGATGGTAGGCCATTGTGATGATAGAGTACTTTCAACTCACAGATGTTTTGTCAGGAGCAAACATTATGGCATTGAGATAACATTCATTAGATTTCTTAATAAAAATCTGTATTAGACAAGTTTTGTTTTCTTTGAAACCAGGAAGTTTCTGTTGTTACTTGTCGCATTCCTTGCGACTGAAACACTCAGGGTCACTCTAAGGGAACTGGGCTGCATGAAATAATCACACAAGAGACAGAGATACCTTTTTCTTTGGGTTCCTGTGATGGCCCCTCTGACCTTAAGGGTCCACAGAAAGAGAGAGAGAGAGAGCGCGCTGAACCCTTTTATTGAGGAGAAGCCATTCGAATGAGGCAAGGGGCCAGGTTTCAGTGGGAGGCTGAGTCTAGCTTCCTGATGTCTGTTGTCAGCAGGTTGACTGACATCTGGGAAAGCCACACCCAAAGACAGAGCAAGAGAAGGGGACACACAACGGGCGTTTCCATGGAACATTCTATCCCAAACAGGGCCAAGGAGTAATATCACAAAGGAACAGGTGAGCGTACGTAGCTCAATCCATGGGGCAACACGCCTGTGTCCGAAGATGCGTCCTCAGACTTCCAGGACAGGGCAATGTCCAGGTCACTATGAGATGTAGTGAGGGTCAGAGCCTCTCCAGCTCAGGGAAGGAGAATGTGAATCATTCAGACTGGATCCCACAGTTACTCACTCACAAGTGATTTTAAGGGAATTTAGGTATTCGCAAAGTGGCAAAAGGGAGATAATGTTTGAGATAGAATGTTCCATGGAAATGCCCGTTGTGTGTCCCCTTCTCTTGCTCTGTCTTTGGGGGTGGCCTTCCTAGAAGTCAGTCAACCTGTGACAGCAGACATCAGGAAGGTACACTCACCCCCTGAAACCTGACCCTCTGCCTCATTTGAGTATTGCACTGAGTTGCTTTTGCTTTGAGAAGTAGTTTCCAAACGTCCTCCTGTGTTGTCCATTGTGGTGTGACTCAGATTTGTAGACCCCCTTTTAACTTTTGCAAAGAAGTTTTTTCATCATATTTTTATCCTTTAACACTGTCAATCTATAGTTTGCCTTCTTGGCTTTACTATTCTTAACCTGAAAGAATCTGAAGACCTGAAGATGGGACCTGGGGGGTCTTCACAGGGGTCTTGGTTGCCCATGTTCATGAAGAAAGTGAATGTTTATGTTCTTTGTTCTCTTAGACTTTGCTTCTTTTCCTTTTGTGATTCTTTTTATAATCTATTTCTTGAAAAATGATCTTTTTTATCATGAGGGAAAATAATGATTTTATTTTGCAGCTTATTTGCTTTTAGTTCTGTTCTGGATACTGTGTTACTTAGACCCAAAGAAAAGAATGATGTAGAATATTATAGTGAAACTCAAGAGCTGCTGAGGACAGAAATAGTTAATCCTCTGAGAATGTAAGTACAAGGAAGATTTTTTGCCTTTAGATGGTATTCTGTTTGCTGTTATCCTGTCCAGTAGTAAATTTATGTCCTGCTTTCCTGTAATAAGAAATGGGAAAAAATTAGTTGTCATGGTGAAATACTGATTTTATTTTAGGCTTTGTTCTTTGTATTTCCATTGCTTATTTAATTTCTTAAGTCTGACCAATGCATAGAACATAGTGTATTCCTTGAAATGCTTTGAACCATTTTAGTGGAGTATACAATAAGTTAGCAATTGCAGTAGGTATAGAAAAACCGATACATAGCATTTGGCTTTCTTATCTTTTGAAACAGTTTATTCCAGCAGTACTACTAATAATAATCATACTAATTAGCAAATTGGTACAATATGGCTTCTTAATTTATATCAAAGAAAAAAGCAGGGAAAATTTTTATTTATAGAATAGCTACTATTCAATATTTCTGTATTAGAAACAGATGAGATGTATTTTAGTAGCATGTTTTATTTTGAGGAATATATTTAGGCCTCTTTCCATCTAATTTTAATCAGGTGCTAAATCAGGTGATTCTTTTTTCATTCCTGGTTTAGAAATTGGAATGAATTTTTTTTTTTTTTTCTTTTGGCCACAGGAAGCAATTTGTACTAATCTAATCGCAAGTGACAGAACACCATTTAGTAAAGATTTTTGATAAGAGGTAATAGAGAGATATGATAATGTCACATTATAAAATTTAAACTCTGAAGAATTAGGCCATGAATCATAAAACAAATTTGGAAATACAGAGAGAAAAGTATGTAATTTAAGTTCTGTATTAAGACTAATTAAAAATTTGTGACATATTTTTCAATTAAAACAAAATATAGTTTAATATTTTGACCCAAAAAAGAAAAAAAAAATACTACTGAAATACAATGAGTGTTCCAGTGACCTACTATATTTTATGACTGGGAAAGTTAATTATAAAAGAATAAATTATCCCATTTATGTCTTTTGTTTTCTTTAAATTCTGTAATGAATTCTATAATTGTCTTATCCTTTAAGATGAGTATGAATCTTGATTTTCACATTAATTGTTTTGTCTTATGCCAACTTAGTTCTCTATTTCTTACTCCCAGGTAATTGATACTAGAGCAAGATAGGTCAAATTCAAAATTCTTTAAACATATTGCCATTTCTTCCTTTACAAAACATCATAAGTACATTAATAAACATTTTTTTGTATACTGTTGTCCACCCAGTTAAGAGTCATAGTTTATGACGCTCTAATCCCATCCACTTCAAAAAGCTTGTCAGGTGACCTTTTGCAGTCAACAGTCCCTGTGTTTGCATCTCTATTTTAGCTGACTGGTTTTTTGATAATAAAACCCTGCTCTCAAAAGCAGAGACCCTATCTTTTCAACCTTTCCCCTTCTCCCAGAGGCTGATCTCTTGGGTGACTGTGTAAGTGGTAGCTGCTCAGTGTAGTTGGTTGCAGAGAACTAATGAGTAAATATAAAACAGTATAAAAATGAATATAAGATTGGCTGGTTCTGACTTGTGTTAAGCCCATGGTGGAGTTTTGTCAAGGATCTCATTGATTTTATCCTGTAGTCAGACAAGATGAAAGAAAATGGTGTAATGGTGGCGATTGGTTTGATTATAGATTTTAGTTTCAATACCTCATCAATTCCCTTTCTAATTTCCTTGGAAGTTGTTTCTTCTTTAGTATTAAAAGGATGTTCTCTCTCAAAATAATATATTCTGTTTTATAATGTAAATTTTAAAAAAATTTTAGGCAAATATTATTTTAAAATCCATCATCCCAAACTTTTAACATTATTTTTTTTCTTTTATTAGTATTTAACAATCATTTTTAAGGTATATAATAGTGTTTGGGATAATTCTAGTTCTAGTTCTGTAATTTTTCATTCTTTAATCAAAGCTTATATTTGTGTTCTTCAAAATCATTGCCTTGTCTATTAATTCATGACATACTGGAGTTGTTATAAGAAATGTCTCATTGTTAAGACATGTTGAATAATTTACTATATAAGCCCATGTCAGCAATTAATAGTTTTTTTCCTAACATAGATATGGATATGTATGTGCCACAAAAATTATGAAACTGAGGAAAATACTTGAAAAAGTTGAGGCTGCATCAGGATTTACCTCTGAAGAAAAAGGTGACCACCTTAATTTATACTATATGCATTGAAAATGACTCAAAAAGATATGAATATGCTAATTGCTAGCTGAAACATTGTTTGTGTGGTGTCGGGTATAGTTCTAGCTTAGAATTTGTGGGGAGCAGAGCTGGGCATATGGCTCAGGGGTAGCATACTTATCCAGCATGCAAGAGGCCCTGGGCTCTATCCTGTCCCCACCACTGAAAAATTAGAGTTTTGTCAAGGATTTCTTTGAGCTCATTACAATGCAAACAAGATAAACAAAAAGGAATTATTTTTCTATGTGACACACAATTTTCTCCATGTTTTATAAATTCATCTTTTCTTCTACAAGTGAAGAATGATGTGGAAGAATGAACCCCTTTAAGAAGCTGGCTGGTTCTAGTGTATTAAATGAATAGATGCAAGAAAGAGTTCTTTTCTTTCCCCCAGCCCTGACCCTCTGAGTCACTTCTCTCCTGTGGGGAAGGGTGCAGTGAGTCGTCTATGTGTACCATTGGTTTTCCTTGTAAATAGAAGGTACAAAATGGCCTTGTATGTACACATATACATATGTACATATGTTTATGGTCAGTGTTTTATTCTGTTCATAGCTAATGGATTTTCTCAAAGATTTAACTTCTGACTTTGACCTTATTAGCAATGTACTTGTAACCAGCTATAATGTTTGGAGGCTGATAGTTATTTAACTAGCAGGAAAAAGAGGGCACACTTCAGGTTTTATTCTATTTAATCTTAAACCCTCCAAACCAAAAATTATTTCACTGTATATAAATGATTATATCCTTCCAAATATAATAAAATTATATCAAAATTGAAATATAATACTTTACTATAGCCTTCAAATTTTGTTTGTATTTTTTCCTTTGTCAGGAAAAATTGAAAATTATGAGTTTAATTGGAATACTACTGAATGAACAAAATCGAATTCAGTATAGAAATATGGTTGTAATAAGTAAAGAATAAAAGGATTTTAGCATTTTGTCTGTGACTTATTTGATTTTTATTTTCTCCTAGATCCTGAAGAATTCTTAAATATCCTGTTTCATCATATTTTAAGAGTAGAACCGTTACTAAAAATAAGGTAACTTTTAAATTATGATAGAAGTATTGTTTAGGGCTCTTAATCCTGTGAGGCAGGTACACATGCAAGTACATCTTAATCATTGTTGTCTTTCTTGTGCCAGACTTGACTTGAAGAACAAATCCAGTGGCAGTTTATGTCTTTAACCCACAAAATAAAAATTACTTCAATTCATTTTCTTACAAAACTATATATGAATGTTTTTGTAATTTCAGTTAATGAACCTTGTAAGATGATCTCATTCTAACTTAGTCAAACACTGGAAGAACATTGCTTTTGGCCACCCACCAGTCAGCCACCAGTCGGCTCCTGTGTCCTGAGTTTTTTAAAATGGTCTTTTCCTTCCCCACAAGTTGAAGGACACCTCAAATTTAATGCCTTGAAGTTCTTAGTGTTCTAGGTGGCTGGACTTCCCAGGTAGTTTGAGTGTCCGAGTCTAAATGGGGGACAGTTTTCCATTTTGGTCTGGGTTTCTCTGTGAAAATGCTGGTAATGTATTATCCTCTTCCTTAAAAGCTGATCATAGGCAAACACTCTTACCTCTGTGCCTTGAGTGATGTTGTTTGATGCCAGTGTGGAGCTGATGGGTGAGAAGGAAGAAAGAGGGGAGTGCCACAATTATAATCATGATGGTGTTTGGGAAGTTCTAAGAAATGAAATAAGACATGATACAAAAGCATCAGGTACCCATTTATTACCTGGTCAAGCATAATATAGTCATGTGTACATCTAGAAAATCCTAGAAAATTGTCTAGAAATTGTTAGAATTAACAAAAGAGTTTGTAATTTAGCCATGTAAAAATAACCATGGAAAAATCAGTCGCATTTTTGTATACCTGCAAGCCCAAAGGAGAAAGGGGCAATTTCATGCTTAATGAAGGTAAAATATTAAGCAACCGATTTCTTGAGATAGATTTTTAAAAAGACTTAAACAGAGCTGAAAGGTAATTTAATTAGTGAGAAAGACTGTTTTTTAAGTAGGAAGATTAAATAACTTGAAGATGCTAATTTTTTTGTTTGGTACCAGGGATTGAACTCAGGGGCACTCAATCACTGAGCCATATCCCAGCCTTATTTTTGTATTTTTATTTAGAGACAGGGTCTCACTGAGTTGCTGAGCACCTTGCGGTTGCTGAGGTTGGCTCTGAACTTGCAGTCCTCCTGCCTCAGCCTCCCGAGCTGTTGGGATCATAGGTGTGCACCACCACACCCAGCTAAAGATGCTAATTTTTATAACATAGTTTTCACATAAGCAGGACTTAGCCTTTTTTCTTAACTGAAGAAGGTGATTTTAGAGTTCTCTACCAAGTGAAGTGGGAAAAATATTGAATAATTCTTTTATTTAAAAAATCCTATTATAAGCTTAAAAAGGCAAAGCAATAGACACTAAAACAGTATGTGATACTGGTATAATGTTAGAATCATCAGTCACTAGAGCTGGATGGAAAGCTCAGTAGTATTCCAGTGTCTTGGAAATCCTCCTTCAAACACAAATGAGGGAAGAAAGATATACACAATGCAGGGCATCTGGCGGGCAGTCGCGGAGAAGAAGGTCAGTTTTGTTTTTCATCTCTTAAAGAAATAAATTCCAGATTCTAAAAACAGTTGTTTTTTTCCTTTTATTTCCCTAACCCAGCACACCTAAATGGTGTCATGCCTCCTGGGTTAGCCTGGGTGGAGGTCTGCAGCGATTCTCAGGGAGAGAGGAAGGGTCAGACCCTGATGGAGTCGGAGGCCTTGGAGTCTGGAGAGAGCCGGAGAGCCCTCCACTCCCTGAGGGCTCACTGATCCCCACCCCTAGGCAACCTCTGATATTGCAAGTCACTGTTTAAAGACAATAAAGGAATATTTTAAGTTAGTATTTTTTCCCCAAATGTCATTTTTCTCCTGAACTCATCTCTTTCTGACTGAGGGAGAATCAGTGGAGCAGCAACAAGAGGACCTTACAAACCAGAGTGATAAATAGTCCAACGGAGAGCTAGCTATTAGACATTTTTAAATGATTGAGGAGACAAAAGAGGGACTAGATACCAATGGAGGTTAAAAGATTTGATCAACAGCATCAAAAGATCAACAGAAGCAAATAGGCAAAAGTGGAATCACCAGAAGTAGGAAATACGTCATGGGTGGAGGAAGGACCTCACCAGGGGTAGTGCACACTGCGCACAGAGTCAGAGAACAAGGAGAGGATGAGCCATGAGGAGGGTACACCCTCGCACAGAGAGGGGACAGGGAGGGAGCAGCCATGCAGGAGACCTTCGGAATTTCTGACAGACTTAAATTCTAAGAATAAAGATGTACAGAATTCTTTAAGAAGCAGGAGTAAATGACCACTCAGAGACTTATTACAACATGTACTTTAGAAAGACAAACTGGATTTAGAATGAAAGAGTGGGATGCAAGAAACACGGAAGAATCAAGAAATTGGTAAACTTGGGTAAATTAACTTTCACATTTAAAAAATAGTGACATTGCTGTAATAATAGTGACTATTTAACTGCATGTGCAGCATGAAGGTAGAGCTCAGTCATGGCCGCTGAATGAGAAGGTGGTAATCAGAGGCAGGCAGAGCAGAGCAGAGCAAAACAGAGAAAAAACAAGCGGGACAGCATCCTCCGTCAGGAAGCAAACGGGAGTTTTCTGATTCAATGCTGAGTCCTTCTCATTATAGAAGGTGGTCTGAGTATTCCTTGTGGATGTCTGTGGGGTAACACAGGACTGAAGGGGACGTTAGTGGCTACCCATTATAGTCTGTGTGGCAACAGTAGATAGACCAAAAAATATCTGAGTCCACAAGTGTTCTCATGTCCTCGTCGATGTCCATTTTCTTTTGAAGTGGACCCATTTATACCCTTCTGCCCTTTGGTTTTCCTTAGTGGAGAATAGATCTAGGTTCAGAGTTGGCTGAACCAGAGTTTATATATGACTATATAAACCTTGTCGTGATTCCTTAGGGTTTTAGCCTTCCAAAACCTAAGGAGTGAGGTTCGCATCCCATTCTTCTGCCCCATGTCTCAGAGCCCTGTGCTTTCTACTTCTGGATTTCTGGTTTTTTCTCTGTGTTTGCAAGTCACTGTTCCCTTAAATACCTCTCCTTCCCTGTCACCATCTTTATTTCTACTTCTTTTGTCTTTTTAAATCTTCATTTGTTCTTTTTAGTTATACATGACAGTGGATTTATTTTGATATATCATGCATATATGGAGTACAATTGCCCATTTTTGTGGTTGTACATGATGTGTATTAATATATGAACATAGGAAAATTATGTCTGATTCATTCTATTTTTCCCATTCCCCCCCTCCAATCTGATGCACACCCCCGCCCCACCCTGCCACCTATTGTGAGTCAGCATCCACATATCAGAGAGAACATTCAGCCTGGATTTTTAGGATTGTGTTATTTCACTTAGCATGATAGTTTCTAGTTCCATCCATTTAATGCAAATACCATAATTCAATTCTTCTTTATGGCTGAGTAATAGTCCATTGTGTATATGTACCATATTTTATTTATCCATTCATCTGTTGAATGGCACCTAAGTTGGTTTCATAGCTTAGTTCTTATGAATTGAGCTGCTAGGTGCATTGATGTGGCCACATCACTGTAGTATTGCTAATTTTAAGTCCTTTGGTTATATGCCAAGGAGTGGGATAACTGGGTCAAATAGTGGTTCCATATCAAGTTTTCTGAGGAATCTCCATACTGCTTTCCAGAGAGGTTGTACCAATTTGCAGTCCCACGAGCAATGTATGAATATACCTTTTTTTCCACATCCTCTTCAATATTTATTGTTACTTGTGTTCTTGATAATTGTCATTCAGACTGAAGTGAGATGAAATCTCAATGCAGTTTTAATTTGCATTTCTCGAATTATCAGTGATGTTGAACTTTTTTATATATTTCATATACAGTTGTATTTCTTCTTCTGTGAAGTATCTGTTCAGTTCCTTTGCCCATTTATTGATTTGGGTTTTTTTTTTTTTTTTTTTTTTTGTGTGTGTGTGTGTGTGTGTGTTAAGTTTTTTGAGTTCTTTGTATAACCTGGAGATTAATGCTTTATCTGAGGTGTGGGGGTGGCAAAGATTTTCTCCCATTCTATAGGGTCTCTGTTCACGTTCTTGATTGTTTTCTTTGCTGTGAAGAAGCTTTTTAGTTTGATACCAACTCATTTATTGATTCTGGGATTTTACTTCTTGCACTTTAGAAGTCTTGTTAAGGAACTTGGTTCCTAAGCTGACATGACAGAGGTTTGGGCCTACTTTTTCTTCTAGTAGTTGCAGGATCTCTGGTCTAATGCGTAGGTCCTGGATCTCCTTTGAGTTGAGTTTTGTGCAGGGTGAGAGCTAGGGGTCTAATTTCATTTTGTTACATATGAATTTCCAGTTTTCCCAGCACCATTTGTTGAAGAGGCTATCCTTTCTCCAGTGTATGTTTATGGTGCCTTTGTGTGTAGTATGAGATAACTGTATTTATGTGGGTTTGTCTTCTGTTCTGTGTGTCTTCTGTACCATTGCTCTTCATGTCTGTTTTGGTGCCAATACCATGTCATTTTTGTTATTGTAGCTTTGTAGTATATTTAAGGTTGGTATTATGATGCCTCCTGCTTCACTTTTCTCACTGAGGATTGCTTTGGCTATTCTGGGCCTCTTATTTTTCCAAGTGAATTTCTTGATTGCTTTTTCTATTTCTATGAAGAACATCATTGGAATAGGAATTGCATCAAACCTGTATAGTGCTTTTGGTAGTATGGCCATTTTGACAATATTAATTCTGCCTATCCAAAACCATGGAGATCTTTCTGTCTTCTAAGGTCTTCTTCAAATTCTTTCTTAGATTTATGTAATTTTTGTTGTAGAGGTCTTACTTTTTTTTTTTGGCATATGTTGAGAGAATCATGTGATTTTGTCTTTAAGTCTATTCATGTGATGAATTACATTTATTGATTTCCATATGTTAAACCAATCTTGCATCCCTGGGATGAGCCCCACTTGATCATGGTGCACTATCTTTTAATTATGTTTTTGTATGCAATTTGCCACATTTTATTAAGAATTTTTGTATCTATGTCCATCAGGGATATTGGTCTGAAATTTTCTTTTCTTGATGTGTCTTTGTTTTTTTTGTATAAGGGTGATGCTAGCTTCATAGAATGAGTTTAGAAGGGTTTCTTTCTTTTCTATTTCATAGAATAATTTGAGGAGGATTGGTGGTAATTCTTCATTGAAGGTTTGGTAGAGAATCTGGTTCTGAGCTTTTGTGGTAGGCTTTTGATGGCATCTTTAATTTTATTGCTTGAAATTGACCTGTTTAAATTTTCTATGTCCTCCTGATTCAATTTAGGTAAGTCATATGTCTCCAGAAATTTGTTGATGTCTTCAAGGTTTTCTATTTAGAGTATAAATTTTCAAAATAATTTTTGATTATCATCTGTATTTCAGTTTTATCCATTGTGATATTTCCTTTTTCATAATGAATTTTAGTAATTTGAGTTTTTTTTTTCTTTCTCTTTTTTAGCATGGCTAAGGGTTTATCAATTTTATTTATTTTTTTTCAAAGAACCAGCTTTTTTTATTCTAATTTGTTACATATGACAACAGAATACATTACAGTTCACATTACACATATAGAGCACAATTTTTCATATCTCTGGCTGTATACAAAGTATATTCATACCATTCGTATCTCCGTACATGTACTTAGGGTGATGATGTCCATCTCGTCCCACCAAAAGAACCAACTTTTTGTTTATCAATTTTTTGTATTGTTTCAATTTCATTGATTTCCTCTTTTCTACTGCTTTTGTATGGTTTGTTCTTCTTTTTCTAGGACTTTGAGATGTGATGTTAGGTTATCTATTTGTTGACTTTCTATTGTTTTAATGAATGAACTCGATGCAGTAAACTCTCCTCTTAGCACTGCCTCCGTGGAGTCCCAGAGGTTTGATATTGCTATTCTCATTCACCTCTGAGTATTTCTTAATTTCATCCCTGATTTATTCTGCTATCCATTGGTCATTCAATAGCATCCTATTTATTCTCCAGGTGCTAGAGTAGCTTCTATTTTTAATTTTACCACTGATTTCTAATTTCATTCCATTATGATTGATAGAATCAAAGGTATTATCTCTGGGTTGTTTTTTTTTTTTTTTGTATTTTTTAAGAGTTGCTTTGTGGCCTGAGATGTGGTCTCTTTTAGGGAAGGATCTGTTTGCTGCCGAGAAGAAAGTGAATTCAGTTATTCATGGATGAAATATTCAAAATATGTCTGTTAAGTCTAAATTATTAATTGTATTTTTTATTCTATAGCTGCTTTATTTAGTTTTTGTTTAGAGGATCTATTCAGTGGAGAGGGGTGTGTTAAAGTCACCCAGTATTATTATGTTATGGTCTGTTTGATTCTTGACATTGAGAAGGGTTTGTTTGATGTACATGGATGCTCCATAATATGCAGGAATAAATATTTATGCTTGTTATGTCTTGTTTTGGTATATAATTCCCTTAATCAGTATGAAATGTCTTTCTTTGTCCCTTCTGATTAACTTTGGCTTTAAATCTGCTTTATGTGATATCAGGATAGAAACCCCTGCTTCCTTATGGGATCCATGTGAATGATATGTTTTTTCTTAACCTTTTACCTTCAGTCAGGGGATGTCTTTGCCTACGAGGTAAGTCTCTTAGAGACAGCATATTGTTGGGACTTGTTTTTATAATTCAGTTTGCCAGTCTGTGTCTTTTGATGGATGAGTTTAGGCCATTTACATTCAATGTTGTTATTGAGAAATGATTTTTATTCCCTGTCATTTTGATATATTTCTGGTTTTTAATTTGAATTAGTTTTTCCTTTAATTGACTATGCTTCTATTGTAGTTCCTCCCTTAGCTGCTTTTCACTTTTGTTTTTAATATCTTCTTTATGAAAAATTGAGTACATTTTGTAGAGCAGGCTTTCTAATGGTGAATTCTTTTAACTTTTGTTTATCATGGAAGGTTTTTATTTCATTGCAAATTCTGAAGCTTAATTTTACTGGGTATAATATTCTTGGCATCCATTTTCTTTCAGAGCTTGATATATATTATTCCAAGACCTCTTAGCTTTGAGGGTCTGGACTGAAAAATAAGCTGAGATATGGATCAGTTTCCCTCTAAACATGACTTGTCATTTTTTCCTGGCAGCCTTTAAAATTCTATCCTTATTATGTGTATTAGGAATTTTTCTGTTGTAATTTTGTCTATTTGTGGTCCTGTAAGCCTGACTGGAGCAGCAGCAGCTGTGATGCTGGAAATTACTTCCTTATTTTATTATATCCAATCTCCAGACTCCCCAATCTGCTTTGAATGTCCAGTATTAAAGTCCAGTAAAATCCCCCCACCCTTTGTTTTTCATTCACCCACCTTGCCAAGAAACTGCCTGTCTGCTTAGTTTCACACCACGGAATAGCCAGGAGAGCGACCTTCTCTATTCTACTATCTTGAAACTCCCATTTCAACTTCTTTTAACTACTCACCTCCACTACTTTCAACTTTTTTAGTTTCTTGTCGTATTTTTTTTCCTGTTTGCTATTTTTCCATGATTTTTGACTTTCACAGGAAAAAAATCCTGGCTTTTTGTAGCCATCAACAACCAATTAAAATGTTGGTACAGCATAACTGTCAAGTTTTCAAGTTATCATCTATTCTTATTATTGTGGATTCTCAAAAATCTTCTGCCTTGTTACCAAATAAATTATGTTTATTTGGGGACCTAATTTGTTTTGGGAAATGGAAGATTTCCTTGTTTATTTTTCCTTTCAATATTGGGGATTGAACCCAGGGTGCACTATCACTGAGCAACATCTAAAGCCCTTTTTGTTTTTATTTTGAGACAGGGTCTCACCAAGTTGCTGATGCTAGTCTCGAACTTGTGATCCTCCTACCCTAGCCTCCCCAGTTGATGGGATCATAGGCATGTGCCGCCACTTCCCACTGGAAGTGGAAGGTTTCTGCAGGCTGGTCTCTGAATTGCTGATGTTTTATTATGAAGACTATGTTAATATTTTTTCTTAAAATTTTTGAAATCTAGATATATATATCTTGAAAAAAATAGTCTTACTCTAAACTCAGAAATTCTTTTAAAAAGTTAATAGTAAACTTAAAGATTATTAATCCTTTTGATAGAGTTAGTCTTACAGATTAATGGCATTCTGTAGTAAAATATTTAGAAGGGAAAATGCTCAATATAAGGGTTCCACTGTGGTTGGCATATTGTATGTTCTTACTTGGCATTTACTGAATAAATGAGTGACCCTCTAAAGAGTCAGCCTGCTCTAGCAGAAAGAATGTGATAAATAGTTGCTAGGACCCCTGGGTTCCATACCTTGCTCTGGTTTTGATCTGCTGGTAAGTTAATATTCTTATCTGTTAAAAAAAAAGAAAAAGAAAAAGTTAAGTTTTGTCTAGAAGGTCTTCTAAGAGTCTGTCTTAGTTACGTAAGAATTTATTGTCTTGTTTTAAGCATTAAGTGTAGTTTGGTGCATGCTGAATTTGGATGGTAAACTAAATGATTTTAGCTTCTGGCTATTGTTCACACAGTGTTTCTTGACTGGCGATGTTACTTCATGATTTTTCTCCTGGTCATCAAGAGAACTTTTGAATATAAAACTAAGACAAGAAATCATTTAAAGGTCTGCTGCATTATTACATTTAGGTCAACCGAGTTGCTGTCTTTTCCTCTGTTGTCAGGACTACGCAAAGCCATATCATCCCTTTCACATTTTTTTTGTTCTTAAATCCTGTTGGAATGACTTTACATTCTGATTTAAGCATTTAATAATAAAGTACATATTTACTTTACTCTGATTTAAGCATTTAATAATAAAGTACATATTTTTTTCTGTGTGCTTTTAGATCAGCAGGTCAAAAAGTACAAGATTGTTACTTCTATCAAATTTTTATGGAAAAAAATGAGAAAGTCGGTGTTCCTACAATCCAGCAATTGTTAGAATGGTCTTTTATCAACAGTAACCTGAAATTTGCAGAGGTTAGTAACACCCACTCACTGTGTTTTATGTGATGGATTCTTAAGACTACTGGTAGATTCAATGTCTGTTGATTTTAACCAAGAATAGTTTGAAACACACTTTGTTAAAAAAATACAAATTCTAAAAAATGTACATTATTTCAACTTTGTCCTTATAGAAAATTCTTTAGACTAAAGATTGAACTTTTTAGATTTTTGTTGCCAAAGAAAATATGATGCTGATTTGTAACTTGAATACTTTTTATATAGTTTAATGCAAAGAAACATTGATTTTTAAAAAATAATTGTCATTTTACCTGAGCATATTATTCAATTATATTAAAAGAGAATATTTATTTTCCCTACATTAAGAGGCAGTGTCAACAAATTCATTTATGTTGGGTTGTTAATGAACAAGTGATAAAAATCAGGGTTTTTTTTTACTATGAGTATTCTTATGATGTTAGTAGTGTGTGCTATGGCTTATTTTTTATTGTATTCATCTCTGAACAGATGTTTTGATTAAATCTTAATAGCCATAGGTATTTATTTTTAAGGAATCTCATCTTTCTGAAGACTGTTTCTGTATTATATTTGAAAGGAAAAAAAAAAAAAAACCTCTTTCTCTAAAACTTTGATTAAATATAAACCTAGAGTAAAGTGGCACAATAGTCACTGTGTTATTTGGCACCTGAGGTTGTTGCTCCCTGACCTCTTGGAGTGGGTGTGTCTTGTGGCTGGTATTTTGCTGCTCTGTGTCAACTCATGTATGAGCCACTCCACATTCACCTGTGCATCCAGTTTTACAGGCCACCACATCATGGCAACAATCACTGCTTGGTTTGACAGCTAGGACTATTTCAGTTTCATAGGGAAAATTGTTTTTCACCTTTTGATTTCTAAAAATATGTGTTTCTTTTAAGGCACCATCATGTCTAATTATTCAGATGCCTCGATTTGGAAAAGACTTTAAACTATTTAAAAAAATTTTTCCTTCTCTGGAATTAAATATAACAGATTTACTTGAAGACAGTAAGTATAAGATTGCTGTTTGTTTTCCTTTTTAAGAAATTGTCAGGTCATTCTCATTAGTGGTAGATATAATACTTCTAAAAGCTGTAATCCAGAATCTGAAGAGTTTGGACACACTAAGCCAAGAATTTTAGTTCTTGAAATTTATTTCAAAAAATAATCAGAGATGAAAGTAAGCATATTATATATAGATATTCTTATTGTATTAGGATTAAAAAATTAGTCACAACCTAAATATTAATATGAAGGGAGTAGTTAAATGAATTGTATATCTATACAATGAAACTGCTGCCACTAAAATTCTCTTTTTGAAGACCAGTGTGTATACAAATGGTCGTGGTGTAGTATCAGGTGAAAAGGTAGTTACATTAGTTTCTACAAGAGGAGCCTATGCAGGTATGTGTCTATATAAACACCACCAATGTGCAGATTTGTAACTATTCATATGTAAAATTATTAGTGAAAATGCATAATATCAACAGTGGTTATCCCTTGCTAACTAAAATATAGATGCCTTCAGTTTTCTTCTTCACACTTCTTTGTATTTTTGAATTTTCATTAAATGATGTTTTATAACCAGAGAGGAAAGCACCCTAGAATATATTATCTTAAAAAATGTTATCTGGTCAAAGAAAATGTCTTAAAAGATATTCCAAATTGAAGAAAATCTAGTTAAAGTTTAAGAGAATGGGGGGGGGGAGAGAATTTTGAAGCCCTCAACATTGTCTTTTTTAATGCATAGTTCTTCTTTTTAACATTTTTCATGAAAGAATGCATGTGTTAAAGGCCCCTCCGCTCCCTTCCCTCTCCCCATGCTTCAGCTCCCAGGCAGTGCCGGATCTGTGGCGGGCTTGCCATGTATGAGTGCAGAGAATGCTATGACGACCCCGACATCTCAGCAGGAAAGATCAAGCAGTTTTGTAAAACCTGCAACACTCAAGTAAGTTTGCTTTATTTAATGAATGTGGAACCTTAAGGTATTTGTAGTTGAAAACAGGTTTCAGGTTTTGAAAAGTCTTTTTTAAGGTCATGATTAACTTTAAAAATCCATAATAAAATGATATTGTTTTTCCCTCTTCTGTTGACTTGCTGTGAAGCACTTGGTGGCTGTTTATCAGGATGTCATCAAGAGAAGTGAATCCATCACTTGAAACATGAAGCAAGGTGCACTCATGCCATTCTTTCATGGTCAATTTTAGGTCCATCTTCATCCCAAGAGGTTGAATCACAAATATAACCCCGTGTCACTTCCCAAAGATTTACCCGACTGGGACTGGAGACATGGCTGCATCCCCTGCCAGAAGATGGAATTATTTGCTGTTCTCTGCATAGAAACAAGCCACTATGTTGCTTTTGTGAAGTATGGAAAGGATGATTCTGCCTGGCTCTTCTTTGACAGCATGGCGGATCGGGATGGTATTTAAAACACCTTCTTCCTTGTGTGGCAGCCTGTTAGTGTGCAGGGGAATGGCTCATAGTGGGATAGCCTCTTCTGAGTTATAAGATATTTTGTGAGAAAATCCTTTCAGGAATATGTTAATGACTTAAATAACAGCTCTGCTGCTTAAACTAAGGAATGATATTGTTGTAATAATTAGTAATGCATATGGTCTGTATTAAAGAATCTTAAAATTCTTATTTTAGGACTGAAAGATTTTATTTTTTGCTTCCTTTCATTTTTTAATAAACCTAGTAACCATTTATTGAGCTCTTACTGCCAAGTTCTCTGGGAATACATTAGTCATTCTATCCAAATTCTTGCAAGATGGGAGCAATTGCAGTTATTTGATATGAAATCTAAATTTTGCCCCTTTCCCTAAGAAATGAAATTGGCCAAATTATGTTGTTATATTGTGTAAATGCATGAATATGTAACAAGAAGTCTCACTATTATGTACAACTATGAGGTACCAATAAAAATGTAGAAAAAAAAAGAAAAGCTGAGTTTTAAGGTTCCTAAAGGTACATAACGTATTTAACTCAGTCTTTCTGATCTCATAATTATGGTTTTTTTTTTTTTTGACACTACTGTATATTTTCTTCCAAATGGCAAAAGTTAAGAGCAGAAGTAACACCCTCTTTGCTGAAGTAAGCCTGTTCTGTATGTGACATGTTTCACCCTGGAGTGGGGGAGCAACTGTGCTTTGTGGGCCATTTGCTAGGGCGCTCATCATCATTGGGTACACACCTGAGTGCCAGAGGCTGGAGGAGGCGGCAGGAGTGAAATAGTTGTCAAAAGAGCTACCAGCTGCTTGTCTGAGCTTACAGGAAAGGTCATCCTAGGCAAGGCTGGGAAGTAAGTGTGACATCCAGGTCCCTCCGTTCTTCTTACCCCCCAGTTTTCCTTTAGCCACTCTCTCAAGCCCTAGTCCCCATCTTCTGGTGGCTCTCTAATAAATTAGATGCCACCAGTGACAGCCTCTTGACAAGGGGCCCAAGCTCTAGATGAACAGTTCTCAACCTTGGCTCGGCTCTCAGCTGCTAGGTGCAGCCTAGCCCTCTGTAAATGTGCCTGCCCCAGTGAACGTCTGCCCTTAACAGTGTGACTCAAGAGCACAGGAAAAGCATCAGGAGAGTGGGGTGGTTTTTTTTGTTTGTTTTGTTAAACTGGAAGAGCTTTTCCCCGAATCAGGGCATCTTCACGCACAGATTGATAATATTCAAAACAAACTGTACTAGAGGTATGCAGATACAGTTTTTAAATATAGGGAAATGTAATAGTGTTCATTTTAGTAGACCTGCTCACATTGGACAGTCTCTTGGTAAGCATGCCGGGTGCTCATGTCTGGGAGGGTCATGGAAATGTGAAGAGCTGAACGCTGTGCTCATATGTGTAGATCACACTGTTCCCTGAGTAACTGAAGAGGAGAGAAGCCTGGAAATTAGGTTGTGGGATCTTTTCAGGATCACCTGTGCTTTCACCAGTGTGATTCACTGTGGCCTCAGAATCCTTTCAGATGCTGAGATGAGAAAGCTGTCAGTTAAAGGAGCTTTCGCTTCTAGAAATCAGAAGTTCGGTGTTCAGAAGCTGAGAATCAGTCTGCTCTATTCTAGGACTGCCGACTTGTTTTGGTGGGGCAGGGAGGGTCTGGAACCTCACTGCCCTAAGAAAGTTCTTTCTCTTTCTCTTAGGAGGTCAGAACGGCTTCAACATTCCTCAAGTGACGCCCTGCCCAGAGGTGGGAGAATACTTGAAGATGTCTCCGGAGGATCTGCATTCCTTGGACTCCAGAAGAATCCAAGGCTGTGCACGCAGACTTCTTTGTGATGCCTATATGTGCATGTACCAGAGTCCAACCATGAGCTTGTACAAGTAGCCGCGGTCATCTGGAGAGCTGAAGAGGCCGCGCGTACATTCCAGGGTGGCTCCTCCTCGCTGGGGCTTCTGTTCAGCGCCCATTGCCGGCAGTGGGTGTCTTGTGGAGATGGTCTTCAGAAAAGGATTCATGTGTTTCCAAATCAACTGCTTTTGTGTTTCTGAAGTATTTAATAAGAAGCATTTTGCACTCTAGAAAGTACGTTTGTGTTGTTTTTTTAAGAAATCTAAATGAAGTTATTATTACCTGAAGCTTTAAGTTAAGTGCATTGATCATATGGTATTTTTTGGAAGCATAAAATTTTAATTGTGACACTTTAAAACCTATTTTAGTCCATTGAGACTGTAAATAAATGTTTCTTCTTTATGGACCAAGGATATGAAATCATTTTTCCTTTGTAGCTAACAGATGCCTTGAGGAAGAAATAATTTGGTTTTATTGAGTCTACTTTCAATCCAGTTGTTAAAGCTGTACTGAGTTTGACTTGTTAATTCTTTCCTATACAGTGCTGATTCTTGCATGTCTGCAATCTGCTGCGTTTCCGTGTTTCTACAATAGTGGTCAGAAAATACTGAGATTCCTTTAATGGTGTTGTTTTCTATTTGTTCTGTTTTTGAGATCAGTGAGTGATTCTGTCATAAAATGTCCATTTTTGGATGTAATTTTCTTGGAGGATTAGTCAGTTGAAGCTCTACAGTCACAGGAATAACTGTCAATGAACAGGCTGCGTGTGTGTGTGTGTGTGTGTGTGTGTGTGTGTGTGTGTGTGTGTGTTGTGAGAGAGATTCTATTTTATGGAACAGAGAATGATAAATTTTATGAAAGGATTGGAATGATAAGTAAATTATGTATTGCTATACAATTATATAGTCTATAAGAAAATAAAATTGGCATATAGAATTACTCATTAACATTTCCCCAGAGACATTATTAGACAGTTAAACCTCTATTATTTTAAATATTTAAGAGGTTATTTTAAATAAATCTCTATTTAAGGAAGATAGTTATTTTTTAAGTTTGATCGGTCACACTTAGTTCAGTTTGGTTTCACTTGAGATAGTAACAGTTATTAATCATATTTTATTGCAAGTTAGCAGCAGCTTTACAGCTTTATCCTCCTTCTGATTAATTAAGTAGAAAATGGATGTTTTCTTGGGTACTTTCCATAGTGTGTGTAGACCACAGTGGATGTCGTAGACTAGAACAATAGATTATGAATGTTAATACTGTGGAATGTGTATTCTCTGAGTGTTCTTTTGTGGTGTTTGTTTTTCTGGGACAACTTCCTTTTCTTGCAGAAAGACAGAAAAGATGTCATATGTACATAGCATATGACTTTATAAAATGCTTAATGTCAAAGAATGGAGTCCTTACCAACCATGCAGTTAGCTTTTTTAAAGGCATTTTACCTTTTAGTTTCATCATTCCATCTTGCTGTGTCTGTTAGCTTTATAAGTTCTAAGAAGGTACAGAATCGCCCTCATTTCTTAATGAAGACGTATCTACGTGTTGCACAAGGCTTTGTACGGCTGCATGCTTAGGTCCGGGTGAGGTGATGGCTGGAGGAGGCACAGAGGCTGAGGAGCCCTGCTGGCTGTCCCTGCTGGCATCACCCTTGGCATGAGTGAGGGTTGTGGGGTGCAGTGACCAAGCTGTCTTCCAGCTTTGAGCAGTTCAGTCACCCTGTAACAAACATTCGTTGGATGAAGAAATGGATGAAAGAGCCTATTGGCATGATTCTGAAAGGTCCTGGGTAGGAAGAATGGGTAGGACTCTATATCCAGGTGAGACTGGATTAACAGCTGTAGTGGAAAATCCAAGCTAAGGAAGATCCAGGGCCCGGCTTGCAAGGCAGAAGATTGAAGGCTTGTTTGGGTGCTTGCATGGTTTCATAGCGTTGGGGTGAAGGCTCCTTTAAGTGGGAAGGTCCTCATCCATAATTGGTCCCAGCATCTGCTGTAAGTGGAGCTGAACATCCTTTAGTGTCACTTGGGAGCGAGCATGCAGTAACGGGTACCGGGGGCCAGCACTAGCGGGGGAGGCTGGGTTCTTGCCTTGCTCCTGAGAGCCATGGGGCCAGCGGGGAGCTTCTTCCCTACCTGTCTCTTCCGGCCCTTCTAGTTCCTGTTTCAGCAGACCGTGGTGTGTTGCGGGCACAGTCAGGGCAGAGACGGCTGATGTGCCTGTTGGTTTATTTCATTTTCAGTCTTAAGTCCTTAATATTTCCTTAGACATTAAATGTTTCAATTAGCCTTTTTTCTTATCAGATCTACGTTCAAAATTACAACATAGCAGAATCATCTGTTTATAACATGGTTCATGATCCATAATTAACAAATAGAAAATATAACAAGTTCCTCCATGTCCAAATAAGTGTGTGTGTGTGTGTGTGTGTGTTTATAGATGAGGGAGAGAGAGAAGTAACCATGTTAATAATATAGAGGCTAAATGTATCCCATCCCTCATTATCAGCTTTATAAAGGAGTCTGACTCCATCCATAAAAGAATGTCTCCTAAGACTGGGAAAACAGAAGAAACAGTAACAAAAATCAGCATAATACAGTTGTTATAAGAATTTTCTCCTTAGAACAGTTTAGGATTTTTGTAACTTGTATTTGTCAAATGCTTAGGTAAATGACCAGGTTATTCCTATCCCTTAGTTTCATTTATTTTTTCATATATGTCATTTGAGAATAAGCATGAGTCAGTGATTAATCTTATGGCACTTATATTGTCACTCAAATTCCTGGTTGTTTAAATGTGTCCTCTTCATAAATCCAGGAGTCACTCCCCTGTTCAGGGGGATTGGCTGGATCTCAATATCCATCTAGGTTATTTTGCATCTATTTGGATGATTGGAGACAGAGATGTGAGTGGAGAATTATTCAATATGAGGCCTTAGCTGAGTGACTGCCACCAACAGTATTTATGGGACATTGATTAGATGCCTAGGATTGTGTCACAGGGTGCGTGAGGCCCCGTCCTTGTCCTCAAACAGCTTGTCATCTGACTTCAGCAGCAGGACAGCTATTCATTGTTCTTAGCTTAAGGAGAGACAATGTGGTGTGACGGGCAGGTAGAAGACTAGGGGACAAGACACCTGGGTCCTTTCTCTGTTCTTGCTCTGTAGCCTTAGACATCCTGACTTCTTGAGCTTTAGTTTCTTCCTCTGAATAATGAGATGGTTATGATTTTGAATTTTATAGGAAAAAATAAGAAAACAAAAATTCCCAGGTCCCAGGCTATGCCGACTGGATCTGACTCCTCATGCCAGGGCTGGGGAAACTGTTGTTGGAAGCTCACCAGGTGAACCTGATGACCAGGTGACCAGTCAGGTTGGAAATCACTGAAGTGGAAGACCTCAAAGGTCCCTTATCTTTCTGTGATTATGGGATCATGTAATGCTGTAGTATTAATCATTCTACATAAATGTGAGTAATTGAATATTAATCATATTTATCAGTGTTTACATATGGCTTATATAAGAAATGCATTTTAGTGTGTGTACCTCAACCTAGGGGTTTTAGCAGTCTTTGGAATACAAGTCTTAAAAGCATATCTGATGTTATTTATCTGGACATTTTCCTTTCATTTTATTTCTTTAGGGGAAATTGAGGCTCTGGGAGCCAAAGAAATAGAAAAATGAAATTCTTATGTAAAGTTAAAAACAATTACATAATTTGTTGTTCTCTGCTTCTTTAGGATGAAAATTTTAAAATGACATGGGAAGATTTTTCTGTGGGGCAGAGTCCTTTTATTATAAAGTAAGATGTCCTTGTTAAAAAAAGGAGAGGCATAAGGCCTATAATAAAAAACAAGGCCGCCTCCCCTAAGGATTGGTCATACAGACACCACCACTAACTCTCCATCATTGAAAGTCTTTGAATTCCCTAAAACCAGTGTGTTTGTGGAGTGGTGGGGTCTGGTGGGAGGGAAGAGAGTGTTAAAATGGAAACCAGTGTGCAGCAGACAGGGTGGAGAAGGGAAGAGGTGAAGCCCTAATAGCAGATGTGCACAGGGCCACAGGAAGGCAGGGTTTCTGTGGCTCTCAAGATTGTCCCTCTTGTCTAGACTTGTCTCTAGACTCCAGAGAGCCAGGCTTCTGCAGGACGTTTGTCTCTCCCTTGTCTTCCTTTTAGATGTCCTACTGTGGGCAAGAACAGGAGGAAGGGGCCTCTTCATCTGACTGTAAATCCTAGAACAGCTGATGGGCTTCTCTTGGGTCATAAAGCAGTGGTGTGCCAGGTGTGGTGGTGCACGCCCATAATCCAGTGATTTGGGAGGCTGAGGCAGGAGGACTGCAAGTTCAAAGCCAGCCTCAGCAATTTAGTGAGGCCATCAGCAACTTAGTGAGATTTTGTCTCAAAATAAAAAGGACTGGAGATGTAGCTCAGGGGTAAAGCTCCCCCGAGTTAAATCCCTAGTACCAAAAAAAAAAAAAAAAAAAGGGGGGGGCGGGGAGAAAGAAAGAAAACATAGCAAAGAGCTGGCAGAGAAATAAAGTCCTCCCAGATCATGGTGAATGCGGGATTTCAGCCCGGGTAAAGAGCCTCAGTGGGTTTCCTGGCCCCTGGGCTGGTGGTGGAGGATCATCCTCCCGAGCACTGTGGCTTCAGGTACAAGTCTTTTGTGCTCTTAAATGCTGTCCTCTTCCACCCTTTGTTTGTTCTAGAGGGATTGTGCTGGGGACCCAACTGTCTTTGGTTTTGTATTATAAAATGGCCTTGAGCTGTGGGATTTCAACACTGGACAGTCAGGTCAGCATCGTACCACAGACATTCATTGAAACCCCGAAACTTCCCAGGGTTGTCGTGGTTATCAGAGGGTTGGTGCAAAGGAGTCTGTTTCGTACTGCATTTCCATTTCCGGTATCCTGTTCAACATTTTTTTTTTTTTGCCTGAAGAATGTCCTATATTTATGAAAACATTCTTTAAGAAAAACACCACATAAAATATCCCTTTACTATCAGATTGCTCTGATTTAGCCTTAATTTTGTTAAATTTTTTAGAGATGAATGAAGTGCTGCTGTGGAAAGAAATGTACTATATACTATTTCTGTATCATTAAAATGAAATTTTTATGGTTCCTTTTCCTTGATTTCTTTGGGGAATGGTCACAGTGATGGGAAGGCCGCAGTTGGGTCTCTTCCTCCACGTCTGCTTGGCGACAGCATGCCGGTTCCTCTGGGAAGGGCTGTACCTGGGCACATCTGTCCTCATCAAACCTCTGCTGTCGGGACAGTTGTTTTAGAAAGCCCCGCATGCTCGTCCTGTCTGGGAGCTCTGCCAGGCCCCAGGAGTTGTGTGGTTTCAGTTGTGTGGTTTCTTGATCTAGCTTGGCATTTCTAAGCTCTGAGCCTAACTAAAACGCAGTTCC